CTCGCGCAGAGGATGGCAAGATGGCTATCCTCCTTTGCGGAATATAACTTCGAGGTGAAATATAAGCCAGGAAAGCAGAATGCTTTGGCTGATGCGTTATCATGCAGACCAGACTATGAGCTTGCTCATGTTACAACTGTAACGTTGTCTGTGACGGATTTGATACGCATCGCGTATGCGGGTGATGGGATGTGTGTAGCGTTGCTACAGGCTCTAGGGAGCAAGGAGTTTGGAAACTCGGACAAGAAATTAACATCAAGATTTCGTGCATGATTGCACCGATATTCGTTGAATAACGGTTTGCTATATTTTAGCACCAATCAAACGGATACACCACGAATTGTGGTGCCTCATGATGAGGATTCAAAATACCGCATCCTCTATGAGGCTCACGACACGCCACTCAGTGGTCATCTGGGTCGCGAGAAAACGTACAAATCTGTGAGTCACCAGTATTGGTGGCCCAAGTTGTACAAATAGACCAGCACCTATGTGCGCACGTGTGAGATGTGTCAGCGCGTGAAACCCGGTCCAAATGCGGCTGAGCCGCTGCCCAGCTTAACGGTACCCACTGGGTGCTGGTAGTCCATGAGTTTGGACTTTGTGTTTGGCCTGCCGGAAGGTTCGGTGGGCAACACGGATGTCGTGATATTCGTCGACCGGTTGAGCAAGATGGCTCATTTGGCGGGGGTGCCAGACACCACTGACGGAGTCGGTACAGCAACGCTCTTCGTGGATCGTGTTTACCGACAACCCGAACTCCCAGAGTTGATTGTCTCTGATAGAGACTCCCGTTTCATGGGAAAATTACGGTCGACTATCTTTAAGTTGCTAGGCACCAAGTTGAATATGTCGACAGCGGATCATCCGCAGACCGATGGTCAAACCGAAAGGATGAATCGCATCATCGAAGACGTTCTTCTCAGCGTCTACGCTGAGACGCCGAGGCGCTGGAGCGCCATGTTGCCACTCGTATAGTTTGCACTGAACAATGCGGTGCATTCGACTACCGGCTACACGCCGTTCTACGTGAACGGGCTGAATCACCCTCGCGTCCCGCTGACGCCGCCATCCCATAGCTCAGGGCTTGGTGGAGGAGGAATAGCCGTACGGCTAGCTGATGTCAGCCCCCTCACCATCCGTTAAGAAGTCGATGACTTCTTGTCTACCTGACTGAGTGTCCTACGACACTTTCTTGATGCGATGGCTGAAAGCCAAGACCTGCAAAAAGAATATGCAGATAAAAAAAGAAGAAGCAAAGTGGAAAGCTCTAAGGTCGGGGACCTGGTTTTATTAAATTCTAGAAACCTGCCTACACATGCAGCCTCTGCTATCTTCAGGGCGAAGCTTCGTCCACGGTTCATCGGATCGGACTAAGCGGGGCCTAGCGTTTACGCTGACCCTCCCAAATTAGATGTGCACCCTTTTGGTGCTTTACGTGGGCTTGCTCAAGCCGTACCGGGATCTAACGCATGTGAACGCTGATGCGTTGATGCCGGAGCGGATTCCACGGGCCCTCGGCCCCCCAGCAGCTGAATCAGCAACTGGGCCTGAGCACGGAGTGCAACAACCTCCATTTCTAATGGCGCCACGCGCTCCACCGTCGCATGCAGCGATGCATTCGCCAGATCCACGGCTAGGAGTCGCTCCGATAGAGCGCGGTAGTCCTCAAGGTGAGGCAGCTAGCGCACGACGTGCTTCAAATCGTCAAGAGCGTCTGCACAGCGATATGCTACTTCAGCA